TCACCTATAGTGTTGTGTGTTTTTACACAGAGGAGCAAATACTGTAAGTAAAGATTTATTTATTTATTTTTTCTGGGAACAATATTTCTTAATGAGCTGTTGACATGGAATTGAACTTGTTTTGGTATAAAAACAAAACAAAACAATACAAACATAAAAATAAAACAATAAAAATCTGAAAAAAAAAATTAAGTGTAATAACATGGCAATGACGTAAGAACGTATCGAACTATGAAATTTTATTTGATACTTTATATAAAAGGCTTTTTTGATGATGGCAGCTTAAAGACACAGCTCATATGGAGAATGAAGTGACATGCATTGCTCAGGGGTGATTTTTTTTCTCATATTTAAACTGTGAAAATCTTGATGCTTCTGTGCGTCTTATCTATCAAATCTAATCTTTAGTTTGTATTTTCTATTGGATTCAAGTCAAGTGATTGGCTGGGCCATTCTACAGCTTGATTTCTTTCTCTGAAACCATCTGAGAGTTTCCTTGGCTATGTTTTGAATCATTGTCTTGCAGAAATGGCCACCCAGCTTTCAGCTTATTAATCCAGGCAATTTAGATGTTAGACTGAAGCAGGCAGCTAATACTAATTTAGAAAGATGAAGTTAACTTTTACTGCCTTTTTACACCTCCCTTTCTTCATTTGTTCAATATTTTTCCCTGTGTCATTTCATTTTGTTACACATCACTTAATTTCTAAACTAATTAGTTTAGGTTTTTTTGTATATATGTATTGTAGCGAGGCAGAGGGAAAACACATACAAAGCGTTGGTGTTACAAACAGGTCCTCGGAGGGTGATTTATTTACAAAGTGCAGAAAGTGAAACGAGATTAATACGGTACTCTTCGCTGTGTAGGTGCTCTGGTGCTCCGGGGAGAAGGTGAGGTTGAGTGAGAGTTCTGGTGAAGGATTGGTCAACTGCTGGAGTCCGCTGTGTAGGAGAGACAGAGAGACAAATATGTTAGCCCAGGGAGTCATTGAGTGAAATGAAGCTCGTCTTCCTCGTATTTGGGGTTGGCTTATATGTGTGTCTCTTAATTAGCTCCAGCTGGGACCGATCTGTGCTGATGAGGTGACAGCTGGGGTAAATCTTGGACCAAGGTGACGTGGCATAAGTATACTTGCCACACTTGCCAAAAGCGTCGGTTTGTAAGATGAAGGGGCAGACAAAGTCAAGTGCGTGCAGTAGCGGTGAGGATGTTAAAGCCGACATTAGGGTCCGGAACGCGTCTTCCGCTATCCTGTTCCACTTTATCCTCTCTGGCTGCCCCTTTCTGGTCAGGTCTGTCAGTGGGCTGGCTATGGATGAGAAGTTAGGTCTAAAACATCTATAGTAGCCCGCTAACCCCAGAAATGCACGTACCTGGGTTTTTGTGGTGGGTTGTGGAGTTTCTTGAAGTGCTTTGACCTTATTTTGCTGTGGCTGTATGAGACCTCTTCCAATGTGGAATCCGAAGTATTTGGCTTCGACTAGCCCTAGGTGGCATTTCCTGGGGTTAGCTGCGAGCCCAGCCTGTCGAAGATCTAGAAGCACCCTTCGTAAACGGGATAGATGTTCTTTCCATAACTCGGAGTGGACGATCAGATTGTCCAAATATGCTGCTGCATATGGATGTTGGGGCCTCAGCTGGATGCCCATCATTCTCTGGAATGTGGCTGGGGCCCCGTGGAGCTCGAAGGGAAGAACCCGGTATTGCCAGTGCCCACCGGGTGTGGAGAAGGCAGTTTTCTCCTTGACCTCTTCACTGAGCGGTAACTGCCAGTAGCCTTTCGTGAGGTCGATGGTAGAGATGAATCGGGCTCCACCCAGCCTATCCAGCAGCTTGTCCACCTGAGGCATGGGATACCCGTCGAACTTCGAGATCTCATTCAGCTTTCTGAAGTCGTTGCAGAACCGGAGGGTGCCATCAGGTTTAGGGACCTTCACCACTGGGCTGGACCATGGGCTACGGGTGGGGCCAATCATCACTAAGGGCCAATTGGTCATGGCTGATACCGATCAAGCCACGACAAAAAAGAGAGGCTCAGAGACCCAAGAAGTGAATCACGACTCCATAACAATAATGTCTACCTGTTTCCCCATTTTCCCCAACGATACAATGTGACCACTTAGCCTGAAGAGGAAAGCACTGTACACCTGCCTAAAAACACCCAATCAGTGTTGGGAGTAATGCGTTACAAAAGTATTTAAGTTAATGTATTACAGTAATGTATTACTTTTTCCTGTAACGCAGTTGTGTAAGGCATAACTTATACATTTTCAGTAATATTTTACTCTTTTATTTTACTCTAAAATTTTGCTATTGAAACTTTTTACTTTGAACGCGGAATAATTTCAGCCCCAGTGGGCCCACCAGTGTCGGCTCCGGCCCCAGAGCGCCCGCCAGTGTCGGCTCCAGCTCCAGCTCCAGAGCGCCCGCCAGTGTCGGCTCCAGCCTCAGAGCGCCCGCCAATGTTGACTCCAGCCCCAGAGCGCCCGCCAGTGTCGGCTCCAGCCCCAAAGTGCCCGCCAGTGTCGGCTCCAGCCCCAGAGCACCCGCCAGTGTCGGCTCCAGCCCCAGAGCGCCCACCAGTGTCAGCTCCAGCCCCAGAGCGCAGTACTGTGCCGGTTCCAGTCCGGCTCTTGGCTTTACAGGCGCCAACCAGACTCCTTGCCCTGCCGGCACCACCCAAGCTCCTTGCTCTGCCGGCGCCACCCAGGCTCCTCGCCCTGTCGGTGCCACCCAGGTTCCTGGCCTTACCAACGCCATCCAGACATCTTGCCGTGCCAGCACCTCCCAGACATCTTGCTCTGCCGACCCTAGCCCGGCTCCTTGCTCTGCCAGTCCAGCTGCCTCCTGTCCTGCCAGCTCCAGTCCAGCTGCCTCCTTTCCCGCCGGCTCCAGTCCAGCTGCCTCCAGTCCCGCCGGCTCCAATCCAGCTGCCTCCAGTCCCGCCGGCTCCAGTCCAGCTGCCTTCAGTCCTGCCGGCTCCAGTCCAGCTGCCTCCAGTCCCACCGGCTCAAGTCCAGCTGCCTCCAGTCCCGCCGGCTCTAGTCCAGCTGCCTCCAGTCCCGCCGGTTCCTGTCCAGTTGCCTCTCCAGCAGGCTCTCCTAAAACCCCCTGCCTTGTGTCTCCTACGGGATCATCCATGGGTCATCCCTCCCGCCCTTCCCTGGTGGTCCCAGATCCCCCAGCTACACCCTGGCTTCCTGCCAGGGCACCTGACACACGGAACCTACCCTGGTCTGACCCTCCCATCCCTCCCCTTGTTCCTGCTCCGCTCTGCCCCCTTTGTCGGTATGTTGGTTCCTGATTCCAGTCTGTATCCTGTTATTCTTGTTAAAGTCTAGTTCGAGTTTAATACTGTTTGAGTCCTCGTTTGTTTGTTTTGTTTGTTACTTTGCACTTTGGATTTTTGTATTTTTGTCACTTTCTCTGCACAATACTATATTAAACTGCACTTGGATTCTACTCCCGTTTTTGTTCCTGTTTTGATCTTGCTAATGTAACTGGGTTAACATGAACTAACAATGAACTACTGTATTTTCATTAACTAAAGTTAACAAACATGAACAAATACAGTAGTAGATGTATTGTTCATTGTTTGTTCATGTTAGTAAATGCATTAATTAACATTAACTAATGAACCTTGTTGTAAAGTGTGACCAGTTGAACACACACTTAATCAATTAAATATACATATTGAAAGACGTACAAAATTAATATTTTTTTAAATAAAAAAATTAAATGTATTATAATCAATAAACAGAGATACAAATTACAAATGTATAATGTTAGAAAATAGTCACTTTGTAGGGAAAAATTTACTTTGCTTTTTTTTGTGCTAAAAATATGAAAATTTGTTAAAATGCTAAAAAATAAGATCAATTGTCAGAGAGTTCCACAGTTCGAAAGTTACTTTTTAAAATGAATTTATTACAATATTTTTATATTACTAAATACTTTGCTGCAAGTAAAGTAATGCCTTTTGTTCATTTTTGTTACTTTGAAAAACTTATTTGATTAACTCTCCTCATCCAGTATGTTTGTGAGCCTGCAGTTGAGCAGTTGACCTTTAAGTGCAGTCATATTAACCTACAGCTAAATTTGCTCAAAGCATTGAATATGATTGTGGACTATAGGGAAAATTCAGACAGTACTATGGCAGCTTTGAAATCTTTCAGGTTCATGGGCTTCACAATCTCATACTCTCTAATGTGGCAAAATCAGAATCAGAATTAAATGACTTTAAAAAACTATGAATCACCGAATCAAAAGCTTATTCCATAAAATAAAACTATTATCCTCTATAAATAAATTATAATCAATCAAATCTAAACTAACCTGATATTATTGATATTATCTCATCATTGCCTGGAGATTTCTTATTTTTTAAATAATTTAATGCACTCTTTCAACTCTTCAATATCCATTTCATCACATATATTATGAAAGCTCTGGTTAATACTTAAAGAAGCTCATATGGGACATTACAAATTGCTCTAAAACTGAGCAACAAATTTCGAAATAACTGAGGAATAATCTGCTAAATATATAATAATGTAATTTATAATTAATTTAGAGGCTGAGCCAAAAAGTAGTCAGAAAAAACTGACATTTTCCCCCCTTTTTCTAACTATTTAGGTCTAGCTCCAATAAAAGCTGCTCTTGCTTTTTTATAAATGTTATCAAATTCAGTTTATAATCATTCAAAGATTCCTTTTTCTTTTTTACACAATTTTAAAATATAGTTCTTTTATTATTTCCTTTCTTCTTCACATTTTTTTATTCCAATTTTACATGACCGATAAATGTTGTTCTTATATCAGACTTCATTAATTCCCAATATTTTCCCAACTTTTAAACTGTCCCAATATTTTTCTATAAACACTTAATTTTTATTTAAACTTTCATTTTCAAGCAATATATTATTTAATTTCCAGTAGTTTTTTTTTTACCTATTTCTCTTGTACTAAATTTAATTAAATAAAGATTCATTAAGCAAGGTTCTATCAATACAGACATCGCATTATTAAAAAAAATATATATTTCACCAACCAGTAATCTATATAAGAATGAAAGACGAGTCACGGATATTTGTTAGTTGCATAATATAACAGTTGCCAAAACAAATTGTTCAACTGATTCAAACCTGCAGGACGTTTTAAAGCGTAATTGCGTCACAGTGTTAGTGGAATGACGCCTGTAGAGGGCGCGAACACACGCTCGGCTTTCACATAACGGAAACTGCGCGTGAGAGACATGCGCGTCACAGGCAGTGAGAGAAAAAAACATTTCTGCACTTCTGAAGCTCAACTTCACAGTTCTCCAGACCTGCCGTTTTCTTCAGGTTTTACGTTTTCCGTTTTTTTTATTTTCTCGCGGAGATGGAGAGCAGACGTTAAGGCGCACGTGAAGTAGCAGCAATGTTATATGAAAAGAAGATAGAAAGTTTTCACATCGAGCTCTTATGAGAGTATGTAGTCGAGCGATGCTCTACAGGCTTTATTAAAAGTCAGATCTTTAAAAAAAAGACACCCCGAGGCAATCAAGCACCCATTTTCCACTGATAGTAAGCTTTTCTCATTTCTTCACTTGTTTGGGAAACGCCTTTCCAGCATTAAAGGTGAGTTTCCTCTCTTTTCCTTTTCTCTTCATCGTATCTGATTATTTTCGTCTAGAGGTTTCTTTGTTGTTCATCATGATGCATTATAATAAAGCACGATCAGACATTGTATAACTTGTTTTGCTGGTATTTGTGGTATTGTGCCAGTTATGTGATCTAGAGTGGGAGGGTCTCCAGATGTGCTTCCAGATGTGAGCCACAGTTCTTCTTTGCAAGACAAAAATGTGCCAAACTCTTTCAGAATACAAGGAGTTTAAAGTTACACTGTCGTTTGAATGTTTAATAACTTGTTTCTCTTACATATTGATGAGTAATGTTCAGGGAATCGTGGGATAAAGGCATGAATCTGTTTTGTTTTACACAGAAATGAGCAGCTGGATTATGATGGAAAGCTCTTTGTTGAGCATCACGCTGGCATTCTGACTGCTTAGCCGTGGAGTGACACTTTATCAGTCCAACATGTGCAACATATGCCGAAAACTACGCAGACAGCAATGAATATGCTATCCAGAAGATTGCATGTTTATTGTGGGTGAGGTAGCAAATATAATAATTCTTTGCTTCATTTTGCGACACCACGGATATCACATGACTGTGACACTTCTGTTCACCTGCATGAGGATGTAAGAAAACAGTATGTTTGTTTAAAAACACAACCTGGACTCTCATCAGATATCTGCCACGATTTCCAAGCTTGACAGTTTTACCCAGTTTGCTTTCAATCTGCGGAGGAAACTAATGTCTGCCAGTAGCACCTCTCCTCTGACCTTACCTAATCCCTTCGTACACTCTCAGCATCAGACTGCACCCCCAACCCCCTCTCCATCACCCAGCCCTCCGGTGCCACTCTGCGTCCGCCTCTCCAATGGGAATCACAGTGTCCCGAGCCCCACCAGCTCTATCCATGGAGTGTCCTTCCTCCTCCAGATTGGACTCACCAGGGAAATGGTCACCCTGGATCCACATGATTTGTCACTCAGCTCTGTGAAGGATTTGGTCTGCTCCATAGTTGATCAAAAGGTAATGAAGTTTCAGAACAGTTTCTTATTCGCATGATATACACACTTTCATTAAGAGTCTTCCTAAGTCTAGCTGCTTGGTTGTGCATTTTACTCAATTGAATTTTGTCAATTTATGTAAAAGGGTGAGACTAATTGTCTGATGCGCGTTCTTTTCTGTAATCTTTAGGAAGTTGATTTAGGTGGATGAGCATGAGGAGCATTAGTGACTGATTAAAGAACACATTTTCATTCAATCTCATCTAAATCTGCTTTGATCCACATGCATTTTCACAAACGTGGTAAATGAAGTAGGAGGCGTGTTGTTTGAGGCACATTTCTGCTGGTCAGTTGGAGAATCCAGTGGCTGTAATTTTTCTGACCTCAGATATGATTCTGTATTACAATCAGTATGTGATTTGGATTGTTCTGTTGAAAACTCTAATTTAAAAAGATACTTAAATTTTGACTTGTGTGTTGTATTGTTGCTAGGGTTTTGCCAGTAAATTAATATGGTTGTTTTTGTGGTTGCTAATGTTAAGTTTTACACTTCCGGGTTTCTCAGTAGTGGAAATCGTCATAGTTGGGAAAACTTAGAGCGCAGTGAATAAGAGAATACAACAAATATCTTTTTACAATCTTATTTGCTCACACAATAAAAGATAAACTCCACAATAATTTTATAAAGACTTTCAGAAAAAAAAAAAAAAAATGTGTGAGACTGATGAGAGCAGCAAGAGGAGAGAATATTGTCAAATTTCCTGTCCTGTCCCATAGACCCTGCATTAGATTTTTTTTTTAATTAGAAGCAAAGATGATGTAATACATACATAAAAACATATCAATGTTCATACGTAAAAAAAAAAATAAATAAAAATGGATACCAAATGGTCCACTTTAGCAGTACTTTAATAATGGACCAGATTCCTCAGTGTGAAATATAGTCACCATTTTAGAGAATGGCTTGATTAACTGGTGAAATTAACAAATGTTGGGCATTGAGCACAGATTGATACCACAACTCATTTGCATACCCACCACGGAGAGTCATGGGAAAACCAGAAATACCTACATACCTCAGTTTAAATTGATTGTGTGTGTGTGTGTGTGTGTGTGTGTGTGTGTGTGTGTGTGTGTGTGTGTGTGTGTGTGTGTGTGTGTGTGTGTGTGTGTGTGTGTGAGTGCGTGCGTATGTGTGTATGTGCTGAGTTAAAAAACTTTAGGTTAAAAATACCCCAACATATAACCCAACTATAGGTTATTAGAGCACCTTCCCAACTATGGGTTATCTTAACCAAATGCATTGGGTTATTTGGATTAAATGTTTTTTTTTTTTTTTTATTCAGGTATAACTAATGCTACTACTAGTATTACAATTAATTTTATAATTATGACTGTGTAAATAAATAACATACAGTTTTAAAATAAATATTGAAAATGCTTTATTTCTGACACATTTTAAGTTCCAGACACTTAATCGCTTTTATCCATTTAATATAGATTAGCTAAAGCATGCATTTATCTCATCAATAATTAAGAGAGCTGGTGAAACGAAAAAAAAAAAGCACGACACAGAGAGGTAATTTAATAAAAAACTAATAACAACATTATTGGGTTACAGCTTAAAAAAACTCTATAACGCAAAAACAACATTACGTCACATAATAATACAGCTTTTCTGTGTCAGTTAAATTAGTTGACTGTTAAAATAAAAAAAAAAAAATCTTAACTGGTTGGGTTTTTAAATCAAATAACTCAATAAAGTTTAAAAATAACCCAACAAAGCACCAGATATCTTTAACTCAACCATTGGGTTAAATAAACAACTCCATTTTTTTTTTTTAAATGTCTCTAAACCTTTATGAGTTTTTCTTCTGTTGTACACCAAAAAAAAAAAAAGAAAACAAAAATTGTATAATGCTTGTTACAGGGACACGTATTAATATAGTAGGGAAAACATCTTATGGAAGACGATGAGTCCCAGGGACCAGCAATTTTCAAAATATCCTCTTTTTTTGTTAAACTGAAGACTAAAACTCAAGTAGGTTTTGAACAAGCGAAGGGTAAATTTGGGTAAATTATTCCTTAATGCTGTCTGTCTGTCAAGAATTGCCATACAATAACATATGGCTTTCCCAAACTATCCAAGTTCATTCAATCATTCAATAATTTTCTTGTCGGCTTAGTCTCTTTATTAACACGGGGTCACCACAGCGGAATGAACCGCCAACTTATCCAGCACATTTTCTTTATGCAGCGGATGCCCTTCTAGCCGCAACCCATCTCTGGCAAACATCCACACACACATTCACACACACACTCATACACTACGGACAATTACCCGATTCACCTGTACCACATGTCTTTGGACTGTGGGGGAAACCGGAGCACCCGGAGGAAACCCACGCAAACGCAGGGAGAACATGCAAACTCCAAAGAAATGCCAACTGAGCAAATGCCAACTGAGCTGAGGATCGAACCAGCGACCCAGCGATCTTCTTGCTGTGAGGCGACAGCACTACCTACTGCACCACTGCGGCGCCTTTAACCAAGTTCAATTTTATTCATTTTAATTTCTGTACCGTATTTACAATTTAGATTGTGTCAAAGCAGCTTCACATAGAAGATTATAGTAAATTGAAACTGGTCAGTCCAGTTTTCAGATTTGAAGTTCAGCAAATCCATCGATCCGCAGCTCTACAAGTCCCGAACCATGCAAGCCAGTCAGAAAGTCAGAAATTTTAAATATATTATATAATTTCATGCTATATTGTAATAAATGATTGAACTGCACTGTAAACATATTGGTTACATAACCGATTTATAACTGTGCAGTTTAAAATAAAATTTAAGGACTAGTGCACTAAGTAAAACAGTACTTAAAATTCTCAGGTAACCCTTAAATCTGGTTTATTTATTAACTTATGAATGAACTGGTTGTATTTACACGTATTATGTAATGACTGTGAAATTAAGAATCAAAAACTCCATGAAAAACACATTGTTGAATTCTTTGTTCACTTTGTTGAATTCTTGTTTACTATAGGTCTGGTCTAAAGAATGACATTTTGTGGTAATGTCCACAAAAGAGAAAAGTATTTTGAAGAGCAAGAAATATACAGTATCATACATTCTTATATCAGCAACAGCCAATAAGAATCAGAAAATCTGCTGAGGTTTAGTTATTCATAGTATTTTAAAGTCTAATAGTTTGCGCATTGACATTTTTTTTAGCCTGGATTGCATTTATTTAAATCAGATCATTGCATAAATGAATAGGAATGTCCCGATACAACATTTTAACTTCCGATATGATAGCGAATATTGCAGGCTTCAGTACGAACCGATACCGATATAAGTCCGATATCAGCACAAATCATGAATACTTTACTTTTACCTATTTCGTTAAATGGAATGTATGAACAGATCAAACTGAAAACAAAAGTCAGCAACAGTTGGTATGTATAAAAAAGACCAATTTATTAAATATTGGTTGCATAAATGTTAACCTTTTACATAAGAATATATATAAAAGAATTAAAGAATAAATATTAATACCCTAAAAATATCGTAATTGAATAAATAAAATAATACTAAATACTAATTAAAGGTCATTTCAGTTATTTATTTTTTACCATCAGCAAATAGAAACAGCTGAGAGCAGGAACATAAAGAGAAAAATAATATTGTCAATTGAACAACTGCTAAAGGTTGAGTGTGCAAAGTTTCAATTTCACACACAGCTTCTTGATGAATTTTTGATCCAGTTGAGCAGAAAAATATCTTTTACACTGGGGCGCGGATGTAAGGTACTGATAAGTTAATAAAAATGTGCAATATGGTTAGTTCAAACATTTACATGATCAGATCTATTTCATCTGTGTTTGTATCATAAGATTATGGCTGTATTAATGTTCCCAAACATTATTAATTTTATAATAATATATATATTGCACATATTATCTTTAACATAAATATACTTGCAGTAGCTGGATTGAAACGCACCTTTTCTCCACAGCACATGCAATAATGTGACTTTAAGAATAATTTTATTTATCAAAATTAATTATATTTGGATAATATTTTGCCAGATTCCACAATACTGCCCACATGGGAAAAATACACAGAACTGCAAATTCATGTTCAAAGCTGACACTGCTAATCAGAGCACTTTATCTTTTTGGGCTTTTTAAAGAAGAGGTTAACATGGGAATGCCTCTAATTAAGTGTTCCTTCTGCCCCAAAAGAAATACCATTCTTTCTTTTAAAATGTAATGGCCCTCAGCAACAGAATGATTTCTTATTCTTATTTAACAGACAATTAAAACAACAAAGATGTTTAGCATTTAACACCTTTTACTTGACACTGTTTCTTTCCAGTGTGTTCAAGTAAAAAAATGAAATAAAGAATAAGAAATCCACTATTTTACTCCTACTACCCATGTGCATCACTGACAGGTCAAATCTGCTCCCTCTCTTGTCTTGGTGCTGCTGAGAGATTGAAATGCACCAGCCAAAATTTCCGTATAAAGTAATGTAGAAACGCAGCTAAAGAAAGCAGAATCCGGAACATGTTAGGAGATTTAGAAATCTTGGCTGAATGAATTTTTAAGTCCCAAATAGAGGACATGTCCAGGAAAAAGAGGATGCATTGTCACCCAATGAGCGAGTCCGTGGTGGAGTATTCACCCGCACACAAAACCGGACCACTGAGGTAAAATCTTGTGTGGGAAGCCTTGTTTTCTTAGCAGCGTATACAAAACAATGTAAAAATCGCTTGGCGTGAAGTACATAAACCAGTAACTTTAGACATGTGCCGTTGTTGATAGCATCAGCGTGTGCTACCTTCACAATAGATTTCTATCGTAATACACCATAACTTAATGTGAAGAGCATGTTAAATCTTAGAGACTTTGCTAGCAAGCAGTGTTGTGATCATGTGGGCTTTGCACGCTGGCTCTGGACGCTGCTGGATAGAATAACTGTAACGGAGTTAAGAGCGCATCGGACTGCTTATATCTG